CGAGACAAGCACTGTTGTCTACCGAACCAACAATCACCGGATATTAGGATGTGTTATTTTGATCCAGCGAAGTATATTGATATGCAACAACATGGCATGGATGAAGCTCTTGTTGCAATGTTGCGGGTGCTGTCATTTCGAAATGACTTCTTCAGCTGCCGGAAATGTTTTAGCGGTTCTGTTTGGTTCTTTCTGACTTTGCAATCAAAATTATGGTCACATATTAGAAATTTAGTTCGACGTGTAGTCGAGGCTATAACTACATATTTGACGCAATCTAGCAAAAAAAAATAATCTAGAATTTAAACTTAAGGTGGGTGCGTGGATGAGAATGAAGTAGTGGTTGCGGTTTAAAGTTTAAAGTGTTTTTGTAGTGGTTGGGGTTTAAAGATTAAAATGTTTTTTTTTTTAGGAATATATTAAAATAATATTTTTTATTTTTTTAAAATTATTTTTGATATTAATACATTTAAAAACATAAAGAAATTAATTTTAAATAGAAAAGGTTAAATTTTAAAAGAATTAATTTCCTCTCAATACACTACATTATATGTGCTTTTGTCTACTGAGGATAAAGAAAAAATAATTCCATTGCGAAAAAGGGAGGAACATGATTAATAGATAAGGAACATGATTAATAGATGAGGAACATGATTAATAGATAAGGTAAGTTCCTCGGCAGCTTGCAAATTCCAAAAAAGGGAGGAACATGATTAATAGATGAGGTAAGTTCCTCGGCAGCTTGCAAATTCTTTTTTTATATTCAATTGTTTTTAGTCTAACCTACAACATAACATGTGAAGTAAAATAGTTATTATTCTAATTAAATTTTTTTTTTTTTATTTCACTGAAAAAAAATGAAAGTTATTGAAAAAAAATTATTTTTTAAAAAACTAAAATATGTAATCATAAAAAACAAATAAAAAAAAGACTCAGGCTTCATTTCTCCCACCGAGTCCTAAGGTAAATGGAGCCTTAACAGGCCCAAATATGGCTTAGGCCCAACCCAGTTATTTTGTCCAAGGCGTTTCCTTTTGATAAATTAAGAAATGTAATAATTAAGTACAAAATAGATCAAACCGCGCCGTCAATGAAACCCGTAAAGGTCTCATCTAGACAATAAAATCATATTATAGGAACCTCCCTCCCTCTCAATTTTTTGGTGGCGTTCATTAATATTTACGTAGTAGTTGTTGTTGCTGTAAGTATCATTGTGTTTCTTGTTTTTGGGTCTGATTCGAATAGGGAATAATAATAATAATACAAAAAAAAAAAAAATGGTTCCTGGGCTAATCAACGCCAATCCTGTAATTTATGAAAAGAAGGAGAGGCGGGTTCGAAGTGTTGACGACAAGGAGTATACTGCTGCTGAGCCTATTGATCAACTCGAAGTTTTTGATATCCTTTTTACTTTCTTGCTTTCTTTTTTTAATTCAATTCATTTTTTTTTCTTTTTCCTGTTATGTTCCAGGTTTTAGTTATTTATTGACAGAGAAAAAAACCAAATCAATTGGCTCTGAAAACTGAATTCTGGTAATAATTTTTTGTTGTGAGATGTATTAGGCTGTGCCTGAAGGGTAAAAGAAGCAAGCACAAATTGTGCTGCATGAAATATGTTGCATGTCTCTATGCTTAATAATTTATGGTATTGTTTTCTGTTGGTGTGAAGAGAGTGGAATGCTTACTATTCCTCCATGTGAAACAACAAACATCTTTTTAGAGTGTTGATTTTCTTAACAATCTTAAATCATATTAGAGACATAAAAGATCCAGAGCATCCATACTCTTTGGAAGAGCTTAAAGTGATAACGGAAGATGCCATTGAAGTAGATGACAAGCTCAGTTATGTCAGGTAACGATAGCTGCCATCTTAATTCTATTCCTACTGCAATATATACTGGAATTCAACCTCTCTATTTAGCATATAATATCTCTTTTATTCAGGGTGACCTTTACTCCGACAGTTGAACATTGTAGCATGGCAACAGTTATTGGTCTTTGCTTGAGAGTCAAACTTATGAGAAGCCTGCCACAACGTTACAAGGTATTCATTAACTGGGTTTTCAGCTTTGTTATCAGTTTCTGCTGCAGAGGCACAAGATGATTTGTGATTAGCTGTATTGTTCAAGCTACTTGAATGGATGTTACAAGGTCACATCGCTTCCCCTGCAAATAAGGATAGCCATTCATGAAATCTGTTCGTGTATACTGCTACGTGCCTTTTTTTTTAATGAACTCAGTTCAAGGGTAGAGTTATTGTTGAAGGTCAGTAGAAGCACGCGTGCAAAAAGCTTGGTGGCTTTGTTTTATTAGCAATGTTATGCACATAATTCCTTAAAATTGATTTAGTTTCATTCTTTATAGTATGGCACTTTGTGGCTGTTATTTATAATGGGATTTTAAGCTGTATCATAATATATCTGGAGTAAATTGAAGCGCCTACTTGAAGCTTGCAGCAAAACCACATGCTAACATTGTAGTTGTGTGATGCACCAGCACCAGGAATGGGGGGAGATACCAGATTAAGATAAAGTATATGATGAAGTTTCCCTGGTTTGACTATCAACATATGGTTTACATTACCATAAAGGAAGTTTTATTCCAAAAACCCTATAACTCATGACTCCCTTTAAGAAGGATTTTTGACTGCTGGCAAAAAAATTAAGAAAAGGATTTTTGTTTCTTTTCAAAAACATGGAATGCTATGATTTGATAAAGTAATGATCTCTCAGTGACCATCATATCCTAAAAGGGACTGGGCATCACATATTATCACCAAACAATATGTGGTTGGAGCATGCTCTGGTCAATGTCTTGTAGTTTTTCCCTTATTATGGTGTCTAGCAACTATACACCATGTTTTGTAGGTTAAGTTCACGGGTAACATGGTTAACTTTGAATTATATCTGATACTTCTAATGTGTGCTGGTCTTAACAGCTACTTTTGGCCCATGCATTCTTAAACTTTATGACCACCCCCCCTCTTCTCACCAGTCTTTACCAATTTTGTTTAGGTGGATATCAAGGTTGCACCAGGAACTCATGCAACTGAAGCTGCAGGTAATCACTCTGGGAATGGGCTGTTGAACGCTTTTAATTGTGTGGCAGTTCAAGTTCCCGAAATTGATTTGCAACCATGTTTTAATTATTGAACGCGCCTTATTCTCTGTGTTGTGCTTCTTTTCGTTAAAAATTTCTTTCTTTATCCAAAAAGTAAAAGCCATAAGATCTTGTCCACGTCTTATGTACCCGGAAGCTAATGTTTTTGATGCCTGAGGATGCTGTGCGTGCTACCGGCATTGATTCTGACTCCTTGATTAATTATCCATCTGCTAGTCAAAATAACCATGGCCAATTTCCTTGTTTGCTCCGCCTCTTCAATTTTATGACCCAACACACGTTTTTGAAAAATGAGTTGTGGACACAGAACAGTTCCTGGATGACGAGTAGCATCCCTTTTTTCTCTTTCCAGTTATCTGTATTTTGTTTTTTGCCTTGGTGGCATGCAGACTTCAACTTGATGAAAATGTATGAATTATGAAATGGTATTCGTTTTCTTTCCTGAGCTACTTTTTTGTGCAGTTAATAAACAACTAAATGATAAAGAGAGAGTAGCTGCAGCACTGGAAAACCCAAACCTGGTGGATATGGTTGACGAATGTTTGGCTCCGACATATGCTTGAAATATTTCCACATAACACAGCTGAAAGCTTTCTGTGCGCATCACTCAAGGCAGCTCTTGTTATCACGGCCTTTATACAATTACTTGTTATTGTTCCTCCCTTCTTTTTGATAATTTGATATGTATACATAAGTGAGGTTCAAATCCACAGAATACAGTTGGAAGCTGTATGCTTTTGATAGAATTGAACTCTGGCTCACATGGCTACATTACAATTTCTTCTGCCCATGTTATTCCACTTTTCAGTTTGTATTCTGATGGGTATAGGCACGCGAGGTTTAAATGAATAATGAACAGTTTTGGACTTAGCATTGCACTTTGAAATCGCCATAAATTACATTTTGAATAGTTTGCAGTTTGTATGTAAGGTTTTTTTTTAGAGAAAAAAAAAAGAAACTCTGTACCCAAATTCTAATGATAAAATATAGAAATTTATGTGAAAGTGGAGCGTATATTCTAAATTTTGCTCCAAGCAGCTATTTGTGTGATGAAAGGTATTTGCTTTTGTATTTAATTAATGGTTTTTTAGATTTTTATTTTTATTTTTAATATCAACATGTTAAAATTATTAAAAAAACATTATTGTAAACATTGTTTTTCATGTGAAAATAACTTAAAAATACTTTAAAAGACATAATCCATCATAATAACGAACAACATGAAATCTAAAAGAGAATTTGTGTAATGTGTTTTCCATACAACACCTGCTAACTCAATCAAACAAAACAGTTGGTTGAGACAAGTCTTTTAATTAGGTGAAAAAACCTCAAAATGCAAGAGTAGTGTTATTCTGGAAATAAGCTTTTGAGTTTTGACATTTCCCAGTGTCTCTTGTCATATTGCAGGCTAGCAAGGGAGCGCTCCACAGTAACTGGCAGAGCTGGCAGCGCCTCTAAGACAAAATTTGCATGGACAAGCTCCTAGCAAAGCCAGCCTAGATGTGCTAAAATTCTATTTAATAAAATGCAATCAGTATTTTTTGACAAATCCATCAAAGGAGAACCAGTAAAAAATTGTTGATTATTTTACTGGTGAAAAAGTAAACCCTGACATTGATAAAACCTGGTCCATTTCCAATAAAACTCTGGTGGTTGTAGCTCAGCTTGATAAAACTTGGTCCCTATCCAACAAAACCATCCATACATAAAAAAATGCATCAAAATAACTTCTATTTCCCCATTCTCCCTTGTATCTAATTATTCCAAATGAAGTTCTATGGTCTTGCAGTTTTTCTTGTTCGTTCTAAATTGATTCAACGCTAAAGACATTGCCCCGGTTCAATCAGTGGTAAGACGTCAAAAAAAGAAGGAAAACTTCATGGCAAATCAAACCAAAATCACTCCTGACATTGCACATTAATTGGTACCGCTTCCCAAAAAACAGAGGAAGCAAAGAATGTTCACTAATCACTGACCGCCCAGAATGATAGAAAACGAACAACAGCATCATACATAGGAAAATGACAATGATCAAATCCATAAAAACATAGTGACAGCCAGTATGGTCTGATTATATTTGTATAATATCTTGAAAGTAAAAAGCGACTTATCGAAGCAACTGTTGAAGCATTACACAGAGAATTTCACACCTTCATCATCAGCTGAAGTTCCCTTAAAGATTGCAAGCTTCCCTTTATGTTCTAGTAGTTTCAATGCTCGCATCAAAATTGTGCGATCTATCCCATGAAGTTCTGGTATTTGGCACAGAAAACTTGGTATCAGCATAAATACAACAGGAAGTGTGCTCCATAAAGAGAGAATGGAAGACATCCTTGATATAATGATCTTAAAGATGGGCATTAAAAATTTGGTATATGCAGATAACAGGACCTACTGCTGGATAAACATTAAAAATTTGGGATATGCAGATAACAGGACCTACTGCTGGAAGCAAATGGACCACAGCACTCATAGATTTTATTGTGCAAGAGTACTAATAGGCATCCCAGAAATGCCACTAACTTTAAGCAATTCCCAGAGACAACATTAAAAAATAATCCACAAACAGTAGCAATGTGGCTTCTTACACCTCCAGATGTTGGCAAGTTTCAAACCTGTATTTTACCATACTCCTCTCCACCTCTATGTGCTAAACTACATCTGATGAGAGTCTACTCGTACAAAACTTTGAGATGAAGAAAAGAAATAAAACGACCAGGGTGTCCCATGCCTTTTATTTGATCAATCAGCAATAGCATGTCTTAAATGTCAAACCAGGGTCCTTTATATAGGCAGTATTCGAGGAGAGGAAAACTAAATCCTAGAGGGGATGCTCAACGAAACCACAATCCAGTTTCATAAAAGAAAACGAAAAAAGAAAACTAAACACACCCAAAATGATTGAGCTCTTAAGTTATTACTTACAAGTAGTCTTGAAATCTCTCACTAGAATTCGCACATCACATAATCCAAGGGGAAATGGCTAGGTGCAAGCCAAGGGTGTATGCATGATTCATTTAAGAAGACAGTTAAAAAAAAAATAAAAAGACGGTTAGAATTTGTTTATGGGAAGTAAGAAAGGCCAGTTTTGTTCTTCCTTTCGGTTTTTATGTCCCCGTGAAAGAAAATTCCTGATTCTGTATGACAGACATGAACCAAACACACCTGATGTTCAAAAATGTATTTATTTGCAAGATTTGCAAAATCATTGTTATGTAAACAAAAACCCTGATAAAAAAAACAAAAAATAAATAAAGACCTCATTTTTATCTGCCCTATAAGAGGATTTCTATTTTATGCAAGCTTGCTGCAAGCATTTTTCTTAAAGCTTCAACGGTGACAGCTTTTGAGAATACAACTAGGATGAGATAAGAGATGCCTACTGGGGAGTTTGTAGCTAAAGCAGATCAAAACTGATAGCTGTTGAGAATAGCAGATGGCTGCTTGGAGGAAATGTTAGGATTCTCTACGATGAGAGAAGAGGCGTAGCTATTTTGGGAATATTCAAATGATAGCCACAAAAATTTCAAGCAAATTGAACCAAAAACTGTGATTTACAACAGTAAAAAAATTCTTCATTTCTTATGGAAAATAGAGCTGAATTTCATAATTCAGATTTCCCAAACAGAAGAATTGGCTGAATAGAGTTCGTTTAAATAATATTCAAATTCATATGCTTTCCACACTGGTTTGAATCATTATCAAACCTACTTCATCTAACCATCCAAATCAAACTTTACCTGTTCCCCGAGATTCAACCCCTGTGCGTATTTCCTCGACAGTCATGACACTGTCCTCAAAGCCATTATCTCTCACCTGATAAATAAGCAAGTATATGATGAGAACAATGCTAAAGTTACCAATCTCATTTATCAAATCACAATTCACTCACAAAATGTAAGAGAATGTCAGCCCAATCTTGAATCCGGTGCCAAAGAATCAGGCATTTTCTGTGTCCTCTGTCTAACCATTCTGCACGGCCTGTTAGAACAGCATTGCATTTAATAAAGTACACATTGAACTTACAGTGCTAACAACATCTCTTGCTTAGTAAGTTAATCTCAACAGTATAAAATCAAATAAGGGTCTAAGTGATAACGATCAAAATTAACCTTCTGACACTAAAGCCGATAGAAATGCTTCTCTAGCTTCGTTATTGAGAGATCCTGCACCATGAGTCAAATTGATTTCATAGCTCAATTTCATTTACCAACAAAGGAAAAGCACCTAAGAACTCATGAAAACATTAAAGTTATAAATCAATAATTTGTCGTGCTAACTTAAACTTACTGAGAAGATCTAATTATACATTAAAGTTATTAAAATAATAGGTCAAATTTACTATCTTTCATTAAGCAATGAAGTATCCACCTCCAATCAATTGCATTCCACGTCAAAACCCAAGAACATACTTCTGAAATTTGACCTGTGTAATAAAACTCCATACTATCAAATCCACCAAGGTAATCCAGGAAAGAATTGATTGCACAAGAAGGGCCTAAACCACCATGAACTCTTCTCAAATTCCATATTGGATAAGGGCAATTGCTCAAACACCAAGCATACCAAGTCAAGACTCCTGGATGAGATGCGGGCATATATAAATACTTAAAATGGAAATAAACACATTGTAGCTCCCAGGAGAAATTTCTTTACATTTGATATCTGAAGCAATGCTTTTACTGAAGCCAAATGTACCGGTTTTGGGAGTGCTTAACAATACTACAAGGAGGTCTTTCTTTTTCAGAGTTGTTCAAAGTAAATAACACAACATAATTAGACTTTGAAGAAAATACAAGACCTACTTTCGATCAAATGATTTTAAAACAGAGGAAATTCTTCTTCCAGTCCAATCACGAATATCTTTTGAGTCCTACAGTAATCAAGGATAAGTTCCTTCCAAAGCTGTACTTGCTTCTCTCGAGTGTCCCTCACTGGCTGCAAACTTGAGAGAGAAAAAAACAAGCAAAATATAACACAAAGATGATTAAATGAGAACCCGATACGTAACAGAATCTACAACACTCTACCAAAACAGGAAAGTAGCAAAAGGTTAAGGGAATACGTGAAGTAGGGCGGGTAATTGAAGAACTGGGGCAGCTTGAAGTCACCCAATTTCTGCATCTCTTTAGTGCTTCGACTCTTCAAAGAAAAGAAACCTGCAATTGCAACTCCGTGATTAAACAAAGAAATCAATGCTTTGATTCAAAAGCATTTAAACTCTTGGAAATCCAATTGAATTCAAAAGATTGTACTAAATTTCATTTACAACAAAATATTCAAACACACCTTGAGCACAATTTGGACAATGACTCCTTTTTTTGCAGTTAAAGGAATGCAAGAAGGCGTGGAAACAAATCAAAAGGGAATTCGAAAACAGTGGAGTGGGTGCTTACTTTTTTATTATCCTTCAATGATAGAAGAAGAAGAAGAAATTGGATTTTGTTGAAGAAGATGAATAAATAAAAGTCTTGGTTTTATTATACCGGTAAATGTCCAAGCATCGGCATGGGTGGTGTTGGCGTAGATGCGGACGAGAGCCCAAGACGCGATCAATACTTGCAGGCAGGCCCAGTTGCCGTTGTGATAAATTAACCAATAAAAATGAAAATTACATAATAAACGAGCACCCCTCTTACTGTTTACATAAACACAAGAAAATTAAAATAGTGTAATAACAATCCAATTCTTGACATAAAAAGTTATAAAAACAATAGAAAAATGGTTAGGTTGTTTTTTTGCTGTGATACACTAGGCATTCAAGAGATAGTTAAAGAAAAAATAATCAACGGAGCTACAAGTCATGAGAAATGAGCACCTAGCAATAGTACTATCCAAGCAAGGACACTTAGAACTTGGATTGTCAGGCCCTTGCGCAGGGCAAACATGAGCATCACTTGGTACTTGAACGATTCTAATGCATTGGATAGACCTTGACATCATTTAGTGCTTTAGTCTTGACAAAAAATCTAATTGGTTATAGCAACCTTAAAGTTGCATGGTGCTTGAATATATTAGGTTTAGCTAAACATGTTCAGACCCAACTTAAAATTGAGGTATATAGTGATATCCACACCTAAATTGGCCTTAGACGCTATCACGCTAAACCACAAAGTGGACGTGGAGGCATCAAGGCACACCTTTAAGTTAAGCTTGAATATATCCACGTCAATCTATATGTTAATATAATAATATGTGTTATTAACATTATTTTTTTATATATAATTTAAAATATTTATCTTCAATGATAGAAGAAGAAGAAGAAATTGGATTTTGTTGAAGAAGATGAATAAATAAAAGTCTTGGTTTTATTATACCGGTAAATGTCCAAGCATCGGCATGGGTGGTGTTGGCGTAGATGCGGACGAGAGCCCAAGACGCGATCAATACTTGCAGGCAGGCCCAGTTGCCGTTGTGATAAATTAACCAATAAAAATGAAAATTACATAATAAACGAGCACCCCTCTTACTGTTTACATAAACACAAGAAAATTAAAATAGTGTAATAACAATCCAATTCTTGACATAAAAAGTTATAAAAACAATAGAAAAATGGTTAGGTTGTTTTTTTGCTGTGATACACTAGGCATTCAAGAGATAGTTAAAGAAAAAATAATCAACGGAGCTACAAGTCATGAGAAATGAGCACCTAGCAATAGTACTATCCAAGCAAGGACACTTAGAACTTGGATTGTCAGGCCCTTGCGCAGGGCAAACATGAGCATCACTTGGTACTTGAACGATTCTAATGCATTGGATAGACCTTGACATCATTTAGTGCTTTAGTCTTGACAAAAAATCTAATTGGTTATAGCAACCTTAAAGTTGCATGGTGCTTGAATATATTAGGTTTAGCTAAACATGTTCAGACCCAACTTAAAATTGAGGTATATAGTGATATCCACACCTAAATTGGCCTTAGACGCTATCACGCTAAACCACAAAGTGGACGTGGAGGCATCAAGGCACACCTTTAAGTTAAGCTTGAATATATCCACGTCAATCTATATGTTAATATAATAATATGTGTTATTAACATTATTTTTTTATATATAATTTAAAATATTTATATAAAAAATATTATTATTTGTATTCTAAATATTATTATTTGTATTATAACTTTAACTATTGATAAGGACGAGAGCCCAAGACGCGATCAATACTTGCAGGCAGGCCCAGTTGCCGTTGTGATAAATTAACCAATAAAAATGAAAATTACATAATAAACGAGCACCCCTCTTACTGTTTACATAAACACAAGAAAATTAAATTAGTGTAATAACAATCCAACTCTTGACATAAAAAGTTATAAAAACAATAGAAAAATAGTTAGGTTGTTTTTTTTGCTGTGGTATACTAGGCATTAAAGAGATAGTTAAAAAAAAAATAATCAACACAAGTTTTAGTGGAGAAATAAACACTTAACAATAGTACTATCCAAGCAAGGACACTTAGAACTTGGATTGTCAGGCCCTTGCGCAGGGCAAACATGAGCATCACTTGGTACTGGAACAACTCTAATGCATTGGATAGACCTTGATATTATTTATTGCTTTAATTTTAACAAAAAATCTAATTGGTTATAGCAACCTAAAGTTGCATTGAGCTTGGATATGTTAGATAGTCATGTCCACACCTAAATTGGCCTTGGATGCTATCACGCTCAACTACAAGGTGGACGAGAAGGCATCCAAGCACACCTTTAAGTTGAGTTTGAATATATCCGCATCCACCTACACGTGTCAATATAATAATATATATTATAAACATTGTTTTTTTATATATAATTTAAAATATTTATATAAAAAATATTATTATTTGTATTCTAAATATTATTATTTGTATTATAACTTTAACTATTGATAAAAAAATATTATTATCATCCTTAAAATTCTTAAAATAATTATTTATGTTATAAATATAATTATTTTTATTATAATTCTAAATATTCATATAAAAAAAGTATTATTTGTGCTATAAATATTATTATTTTTATTATAATTAATATTATTAATAAAATAATTAAAAATCTTGATAAAAAAATTATTATTATATTTAAAAATATTATTTTTTATACTATAAATTCTTACAATAATTTTTATAAAATAAAAAGTGAAAATGTTGGGAAGCGTGAGCATCCAACCAGTAAAAAACCTAAAAAGTGTTGATTTAATATAATGAATAATGAAATTTTAATAATTTTTTAGTATTCTTGTTCCATTAGCTACCGTGATGGCATTAGTTTGTTTGTTATTATGTTCAAATATATTTTTTTAAAATTAATTTTTTTTATAATTATATACTTTTAAAATATTATTAAATAAAAAAACTTTAAAAACAAATTGCTACAATTTTCTACCAGAAAACATTGTATCTTTTAAGTGATAAAACACTTGTCGGCTATTTTTTTTTTGTCTAAAAATAAAATGAACCACCTGCATCTTTATCTTGTAACTCAATAGGTTAGTGCATGGGTCTGTCTCAAGGTTGCGAGTTGGAGCTACGCCAGGAACTAGCGTCTCTTTTGTGTACTAGACCACGAATTGTCCATGTTTTTTTTTTTTTTTTATATATAAAAAAATATCATTTATCTTTTATAAAAAGTTAAAAAATAGCCCTTTGTGTACGTGCTTACTTTAGGCCCGCCTAAGCTTTTTTTTTTCACTGGCCCTTTGAGTTTTTTTTGCTTTATTTTTTTATTTAATGGTGAATTTTTATTGATTTTTATCTTTATTAAATTAATTATAAATAAATTTATATTTTTTATTATATAAAAAATACAAAAAAATTAATTTAACCCAATAAAATTTATAATTAATTAAGTCATGAATTTAGCAATTGATTAAGGATAACTTATTATTATTTTTATTTATTTTGAGCTTGTCTTATCAATGAGAAATTTTTTATATTATTTAATTTAAAACTCTGATTAATAAAAAATTTAGATTATAACATTTTAAATTTGAAATGTTATAGTAAATTGAATAACAATAGTAGAAAAGTTTCTATAACTTAAAAAACCTAAAAAGTGTTGATTTAATATAATGAAATTTTAATCATTTTTTAGTATTCTTGTTCCATTAGCTACAGTGATGGCATTAGTTTGTTTGTTATTATGTTCAAATATGTTTTTTTTAAAATTAATTTGTTTTTATAATTATATACATTTAAAATATTATTAAATAAAAAAGCTTTAAAAACAAATTGCTACAATTTTCTATCCGAAAACATTGTATCTTTTAAGTGATAAAACACTTGTCCATGTTTTTTTTTTTTTTTAAAATGTCATCTACCTTTTATAGAAAGTTAAAAAAGAGCCCTCATGTACGTGCTTACTTTAGGCCCACCTAAGCTTTTTTTTTTTTCATTGGCTGGTTGAGTTTTTTTTGTTATATTTTTTATTTAATGGTGAATTTTTATTAATTTTTATCTTTATTAGATCAATTATAAATAAATTTATATTTTTTATTATAAAATAGCCCTTGTGTACGTGCTTACTTTAGGCCCGCCTAAGCCTTTTTTTGTTCATTGGCCCGTTGAGTTTTTTTTGCTTTTTTTTATTTAATGGTGAATGTTTATTGATTTTTATCTATTATTAGATCAATTATAAATAAATTTACATTTTTTATTATATAAAAAATATAAAAAAATTAAGTTAACCTAATAAAATCTATAATTAATTAAGTCACGAGTTTAGCAGCTGATTAGGGATAATTTATCATTTTATTTATTTATTTTAAACTTGTCTCGTCAACAATGTTACAGTAAATTGAATAACAATATTAGAAAAGTTTCTATAGCTTAAATATTATTTGTTTATATTCAAAATCTTTTTCAAACAAAAAAAAAAAAGAAAAAGAAATTCCTAAGCAAATACGATTTCCTATATTGTTTTGTGGCGTAAGGACCTCCCGATGGAATATTTTGTTTTCCCACTTGTGTACACACTCTCTCAAGACCTTTTTACCCTTTTTCTTTAAAGAACAAGTAAACACAAATTTTATTTTATTATCTTCCAAGTAGTAATTGTTTTTTTCTAAACGAGTTAGCCGAAGGATCATGGCTCATGGCTCATGGCTCGTGATTTTGGGCCTGTTTGAGGATTATAACAGTAACAGTAACGATTTAAAATATTTTTTATTTATAAATATATTAAAATGATATAAAAGCATAAAAAAATTATTTTAAACAAAAAAATTAAAATTTTTAAAAAACTTAATTTCCATCCTGTTTTCTTGAATAGGGACTCACTTGGTAAAAAATAAGTCAGGATGCAATTAAGAAAATTATAACAGGTCAGAGAATAATCTGAGGTTATCCCCAAAAAAAAAGAAAAAAAAAAAGCGATATTGGAGGTCTAGTAATGATGTGGTCTTGACTATTTTAATAAGTAAATAAAATAAAATAAAATAAAATAGTCGAAGCCTACGATCCACAAGCAACGGCTTTTATCAGCAATCAAAAGTCAACCCTATAGTTTGGTCAATTCTACTATCACATAAACAAATACTTTAAAAAACATTACTATCACAGTTGTGGAGAGGTCCCTGGTCAACACTAGCTGAATTCTATGAGAGGAGGCGGCCCATTAAATTTTCTAG